CATCACTGCATAGTACCTTGGCTTTACCGAAGAGATCCACGGAAAGAGAACCCTGGTTTCTGCTCAGCCCACAGAGCCAATCCCAACACCCTCCAACCCAGCAGCAAAAAGCTCCTGAAAAAAGGGGTCTGAGGAGGATTCAACCTCCAGGCGCAGAGCCACCGTGCGCTGCCTTCTCCCGCCCCTGTTACACTGGGTGGGTCCCACGCTTTGCAGCACGGAGAACGAGAACATCAGCTGCCCTTCCAGGGAGGGGCAAGGCCTGGTCGCGCTGCACTGCTGGCTGGGATGTTTGAACCTGGGACCCCTGGCTCTCCACAGCACCCCTGGGCAAGGAGACTGAACTCAGGTAGCTAACACTGGAGGAGGCTCACCCGCCTCGGTCCGCGGCCCAGCCGCCACGAAGATGCAATGGAGCCCCCCGCGGGAGACGAAAGGTTAACCCTGCCGCGTAGGGTGCCGCTAGGGAGACGACAAGGTCACCTGAGGTGAGACTGGGGATTTCCGGGGCAAGCTTTGAAAGGGAACTCTGCACAAAGAGCTAATGACGGCTGCCATCCCCCGAAGGAACCACTGCTCCACCACAGCGGCGCCTGGCGTCCCAGAGCTCGGCGGCGATACACGCACCGGGCCTCGAGGATGCAGCTGCGGAGAGCGAGAGGTGGCCAGCGGGAGAGGGGCAAGCCCCTTCTCTGGGGGAGAGTGCCTGGGATTGCACAGGGCAGACGGGGCCTTGACTTGAAGGACTTCTCTGCAAGACTCAGCTGGACGGAGTCCGGAGGGGAGACGGCACAGCCGACCCTGCATTCAGACAGCGGAGTGCACGGAGCCCGCTCCTGGGCGCACCCCCCATGGGTCCCGTCTGGTTGGGTTTGGATGTTTATGAGGAAACAGTGCTGAGTTCCTGCTTCCTTGTTTCCCACAGAGCGGCCCTGCGCCTGGGGAGTCACTAACTCCAGTGCACATGAAGAGTAAGATGCTACTTGTCTTCTTTCCCCCAAGCTTCAGTCCTGCTCAGCTCCCGACTCTACTGCTCTCCCCAACCCTGGCCTGATTGGCTGAGCCACCTATCCCAACGCGTCTGCATTGCCCCCTTTTCATTCCTTCTCTCTGGTGTTTATTGAGTTTCAAACCAACACACACAAGACACGAGGAGAACAAGAGCCGGCCCTTGGACGAGGGCCCCTTTGCTTCGTTGCACGGGCGCGTGTGAGCCGCACGGGGATTCATGCACGAAGGAAGGTGTCGCGTACAGTTCTGGAGGGTCTCCTCGAAGGAGTGGAGGTTTCACATTCATTTCACTGGTATGGCAAAGTCAGTTTGCTTGTCCTTCAAGGTGCATTACATTCAAGAGCTATTGCAAACGGCAGCGGGGAGGCGGGGCAGAGAGGAGATCGACTCACCCCATAGGGTCTCTTGGGTTTGGTTACTTCAAACAACCCCCCTCTGGCCCCCAATGGTTCTGTTCCTCTCCAGATTTTGGGAAATGAAACGGGGTGTGGCCGCTCTGAGCCTTAGCTCTCCCGCGGGTCGCTGTACTGGAGCTCGGAGTTGAATACTTCCTTGTACAGGGGCGGGAAGCTCATAGCTGTCTCTGGATGCAGGAGCCGGAAAAACTCCAACTTGTCCAAGTGCAGGTTGCAGATGGTTTTCATGAAGGGCAGCTTGGCAACCATCTGTAGGGGAGAGAAGCCAGGGAAGGGCGTGAGATTTGAGCTTGTGATCAGCATCGCTGTGCACCGGCCATAGAGTCCAGCCGCTGGACAGGGCTTAGCTAGACCCACGCTGTAATGAGAGAGAAACCCGAGAGAGGCGTGCTGCACCGGGGCGGATGCCTCTGGGAATGCACATGGGCTAAGAGGCACCAGGTCAAGCCCCCTTTTGAACCAGGGCAGCGTTTCTATCCTAGGGGCTTCCTGTGTTCACGGGGACGTGGTTTGGCTCCCCCTCAGCCTGGGAGAATAAAGGGAGCAGCCGCGCTGGTTTGCAGCAGCCCTGAAAATCGACAGCCGAGGGTTCCCCATGCGGGTCACTGCCGCACCCGCCCAACGGAGCCATAACGACTCGATCCTGAGAGTGACAAATGAGCCCTTTTGCTACTCCCGGCTGGCACAGCCACCTCCCCACGCCTGGGCCACGAGCTCTAACGCCTCCCTTCTAAACCCCCAGGCCTCTTGCCTGGGGGTGAGAGGAGAACTTCGTGGTCGGTTCCAGCAGCAGGTTCCACTAGAATTAAGCCACGAAGCTCTCACCAGGCCGAGGAAGAAGAACTCTCTGGTGAGCTCGGCCCCTGCCACAGTCAGGCACCGAGGAAGCGCTGTTGGAAAGGATGGAGTCCTTTCACTCGGTGCTAGAAGCCTTGTGCCATGCAGGAAACCAGGTTAGACGATTTTAATGGCCTCTCCTGGCATTAAAATTTACGGAGTGAGACCTACTCCCCTAGGACCTAGTGAATCCAGCCAACACCCCACGATCCCCTCCTGTCTATCCACCCGGGCTTTGTCCAGCTGTGAAGGTCACTCCTCCCCTGCTGATAGCCAACCCCACAGCCCTTGTTTTTCCGCAGTGCAGTTCCTCCCCGGTTCCGCCAGGCAGGTCCCACTCAGCTCCGCTACCTTCGAGAGCTTATCCTCGCTGGAATGTTTCTTCTGGATCTCGTGCTGCAGGGCGAGATAGATCTTGTCCTGGAGCTTCTGCACCTTCTTGGATTCCGTGAGCCAGGGACGATCTGCAAATTGACAGACAAATCTCACATCCGCCCTGGGAAATGGATCTGAATTCTGCACAGCTAGTACCGTGTGTGTGTGTGGGGGGTATTTCCTTAACTGTTTTTCCTGCCCTTCATAAGTAGGGAGCTACAGGTTAACACGTTGCTTTGTGATCATTTCCCACCCTCCTGTGACCCTCTCTCTTGCCCTCGCACATGTGTCTTGGCTGGAGAGAGTTCCACGTTCCTGAAGCAGATTTGATGAGAGACAGAGAAAAGGGAGGGATCTGTCCAGCATTTACGGTTACAAGGACTTTCCATTTGGCTGTTGGCCTGACACGCTGGCTCTGTTGGTGGCCAGTGCCTGATTCGTGAGTTCAGCTCCCACGAGTGCCCAATTGTGTACAGGGTAGGGTTGCCAGATGGTTTAACCAAAAATACTGAACACCCTCCTCCCCCCCCAAAAAAAACCCACTAGGGAAAAAATTCTGTTGAAGGGAAAAAAAAGGGGGGGGATTGAGCAAAAAAGTTCTTGAGCAAAAAAAAAAAAAGGAAAAGCAAAGAAAAGTTTAAAAAAACAGCATGGCCCCTTTAAGAAATGCTTTGGAGGCTTTTTGGCCAGACAGCTCCCGTGCGGAACCCAGTAAGCACTCAGGATTTTCGCCTCCTGGATGGGAAAAAATTGGAAAATACTGGACATTTGAAGTGTCCGCTATGTTCTGATTTTTTTTTACGGGACAGGAGGCAAAAATACCAAACTGTTCGGTTCAATACTGGACACCTGGCAACCCTAGTACAGGGGCAGTTCCTTCCTGGCCCCAGCAGCCATCAGTGTCATGCCCGGAAGCATGGGAGTGGAAAAGCCTTCCTTAGACAGTGCTACAAGGCGGTAAGGTTTGAAGGAGGAAAACAGAGGCAAAGACCATCAGGCACATCTCCCTGGATGCTGGAGTGGGATTTCTTTTTAGGACAAGATCCTTTCTCCGAAGGGCTCAGTCCCCTCCCTCCCCACCAGGGCCTTCTTGCAAACAGCTTCCCTGCGTTGTGTCTTGCAGGCTGCCTCTGCCAGCCCGAAAGGCTGCTGCGTCAGTCCTGCTCTCCCTGGGGAGTTTTGCCACGGGCTCCCCCGGTGCCAAGTCAGAGCCACATGCTTCCTTTGCTCCACCTGACAATGACCTAGCGAGTCTCCAGTTTCTCTGGCAAGGTTTCGGATGAACACCCCCGGAACCGCCGCCCCACCGCTCTCTCCCTTGACTGCCCCCCGCTCCACCTACCCGGAGAGAGCAGCACGGCTGCAGTGAACAGCGCCATCTCCTCGTCGGAGAGCTGTAGCCGGCACAGGTTGCGGCCCAGCTCGAAGATGGCGTTGATGAGGTCGTCGCAGCCTAAAGAGGAGACGTGGGAGTGAGAGACGCACCATGGCCTGGGCCGCACACCCCTTCGCTGCAGGAAATCAGCGTCCGCCCCCCCAGGGCAGCGCCTGCCCACAACGATAACCAAGCCCTTCTCTTGCAGCAGGAGGGGTGGGAAGGAGTCCATCGGAAGGCTCACTGGTATTCCTGGCATCACAGGTGCTGCCCAGGAGCCATGCTCTCGCTGTGAGCCGTGGGAGAGCCTGGGGGTGAGTCAAAGCCAGAATATGGCCCACGGGCAGAGGCGGCCCGAGATGAGCTGCCGGCAACTGGTGCCCTAGGTGGAATGCGCGATCAGCATCCAAAGCCCTCAACAGCGGTGCGTCATCATTGGGCGTCCCGTTTAACGCGGCGCCCTAGGCGACTGCCGAGTCTGCCTATATGCACGGGCTGCCCCTGCCCACGGGCAATATTGCCCCTTAACTGTGTTTCGTGTCAGCCCCTGGGGAGGCAGGGCTCCTTTCCCAGCA